AATATGGGTTGCAATCAAATGTTTTGAAAGCCATTCACCATGATTTAAGTAAAATATATTATTAAAGCTATTTTTAGACATTCAAACAATTTAAATCAATCAAGTTTGAATGCGATTGCATACATGTATTTGCAGATGTAGTGCATTTTACTCACATTTTCACATAATAAGAGCTGTCATTTGACATGTAATACTGAGTTTTCAATATTTTGATACAATTGTTTATTATTTTGCGATAATTAAAGCTTTAATCGGGGATAGAGATTTCGACAAAGTACCTGTACACGTACATTTAGTATTACAAGTCAAAAACCTTTTTTACTTTACATCATAATCCCGGGATCATAATTTACTAGGAACCCAGATGCTAGAGGAAGCAGAAGATAAACTCACATCAAATACGCTAAATGAAACTATTGAAAATATAATTGGTATTAAAATTCTCAATATTTTATTTCAACAAATGCCTTGATCTCAGATATTACTTTCCCATGGATTCAAAAATCATCCCAGAACTAATTATAGGTAACACCATTGTGCACAAGCCGTCTGATTGCATTACTCGCTAAAATAACATCCTTAGAAGTGAACAATCCAAACATCTGATAATAATGTAGCTAAAGTCCCCCCTCCCGGTATCCATGCCCACCTTGTTCAGTTGTATCCTTAAAATGTTGAACTACCTTTTGCATTCCTTCAGATATAATCGGTTAATTTCTGAATTTAAAGAAATTTAATTATACAATGTAGCACGGGGATTTAGAAAAACTGGCTATAGAAATTAATCCATTTAACTATAACAAACGGATTAATATCAGTGAGAACTTAACTCATTTGCAAGAATTGAATAATTAGGGATTAAAGTTTTGTGAATGTATTTGGGAATGGAAAACAAAGCAAGGTCCAATTCAAAATAGAAACAAGGGTATCTCTGATCAGGTTTTGTCTCTTCATTCTCATATTATCAAGTTATCAAAAAATGATATTTTGATTCACAAAACTGCACCGAAACAATGAAAAGTACACGAAGGCAACCGCATTTGCAATCTATAGTTCTCAAAAAGCAGGGTTATTAAAAGCCAGTTTCAAACTGAAGTTAAAAAGCCGGTTTTTGAAACCCAGTTCCTAAAATTCAAATTAGAATACTATCTTTCTTTTCTATTTAAACTTAAATCAATTTATTATAAACAAACTATCCCGGGCAAACTATGACCAAGTGCATCGGGAATACAAAACTCCTGTAAATGAGTTATATAAGACAATGAAATCAACGCTGATTAAAACATAAACACTATAAAATGATTTAAAGGTAATCTTCTTTCGATTCCATTACCTGTCATATTTTTTTCTAAATACCGGCTTTTCCGGGAGGAATTTAACATGGGCTTTAATTCAAAGGCAAGAATCACTTATTAAGCGGATTAAAAGATGTTGGACGTCGCTCCAGTGATTTATATTTTATGGTTCTGAATTGATGTGCAGATTTTAAATGCAATCGAAAACATGACCAAAAGAGTCTAGACTACCATTTGCTTTGATCATGGGGAATGGAAAACAAAGCAGCGATTTGAAAAAGTAAATAGAATTCCTATGCATAATCCATGATTTAATACAAACGGTGGTAACAGGTTGTTAAATTATAATACCTTCTCAGGAAGAATTAGGTTGCATTGACTCTAAAAGTAGAGATAACAAGTTCAGCGGTGTAGCCAGCTTTCCGTCGGGGGGGGGGGGGGGGGCGATCTCCATTAAAAACATGGGTTTGCACAAGTATTCTTTATTAGCAACTTATTGATAACTACAAGGAAGATTTCTCTTTTCCGGTGTGACTTAAAAGGTGTCGAAAAATCACAATTATAGTAAAAATAGATTATTTCGAAATCCATCCTGTAGTCGCTTATTATACCACTGGCGGATCTGGGGGGGGGGGGCCCAGGGGCCCGGGCCCCCCCCCCCTTGGGTGGGCCCAGAAAAAAAAATTGTGCCCAAAAAAAATTTTGAGCCAAAAAAGGCTTTAAGGCCCCGAAAAGTAGGCCTTTTAGGTCTTAAATTGGCCTTCTAAGGCCTTGTTTTTTAATTTTAGGCCAAATTTTGAAGAAAATGGGCCTCAAAATTTCAAAATTTGGGCCCACTTTTGGGTTTTTGGGGCCCAAAATTTTTTCCGCGCAAGCGCGGACGTTTTTTTCTCAGACCACAAGTTTGGGCCCCCCCCCTTGTTGGTTCCCAGATCCGCCCCTGTATACACAGGTAAAGTCATATTCATTAAGAACTACGGTACTTACATTCTTTAGTTGTGTTGTTTTATCATGCTTAATAGAAAAATACGCACAAATAGTCCGTTATTTATTTGTATACTTAGTTATAAAATGAGCAGAGCAACTTAGAAATAGCTTAATATATTCAGAAAGAGGCAATTATAATGTGTGACTATATTGCACACTTACGGAGTATTGCGTTTGCATATATTTGAGTATAATCAGTGCTTATTTGTGCTGTTCTACAAATAAAGAGGAGCAATACTTGAATATACAGAGTGTTCCATATATGCAGCGAGTATTGTCTCTGTACTGTCTCTGTTTATATGTGCTGAGTATTTTTGCTGATTACTGCACATTACAAGAGATTCTTACAAATAGACACTGCTTATAACAAAGCAATATTCTCTATTTCATATAGTGGTACGAATCCAAGTGCTATGTTACTTACTCCAGATGTGAAGAGCCATGGCAAGCCCAGAGAAGAGAAATGCAATGAGAAATCGGCTGATCGCAAACACAATATAGTTAGGGGAGTAGGCCGATCCAATTGCGATAACAAGGTGCGTAACTAGGGTGACGAAGACCACAATCTTTCTCCCATATCTGCAATTTTTCAGAATTTTTAAGGGTATTATCAGATCTAGCGAGCAACATTAATAAAAGTAAGTTGTTCCATTTCATGGAGGGTGGTGCTTTGTGTATTAGACAATTGAGGGAAGGGGTTGTGTGCCCGCTTGTCATATCAATATTCCTTTTTAATCCAAGGGAATCCTAGGTTGACCTCTGCATCCAAATGTGAACCCTTGCAACAAGCCATACCTCAGTTATTAGTTGCATTAAAGTGCTAATTCGGTTTCTGTTTATTTTTTCTCACTACAATAGATTAAGCAGATATTGGTATGTAAAATAGTATTCCAACAGACTCTCGACTCGTTCCGTTTGTTTTAGTGGCAAAATAAGATTTCCTGGGAAAAAACATGACGTCACGAACAGAACCGATGTGAAAGAAATGATGTTTCCCCAGGGATTATGGTCCTCTTTCTGAACGGCCATTACTGGCCCTGATTGTGTATGAGATAATGAGGGAAAGAGTTGTATTTAGGTCACCATATGGGTCAATGGAGAGTAGGGCCATACTTTGTTAGGACCTCCCACCCTTTTACACCGGTAATGGATTTTTATCGGCAATGCGTTATGCAAAGTTAAAATTGTTTATGTTCTATTGAGTTCTGATTGGCCAGAAAGGAGTAACGCTTACCGAAATCACCCCATGGTTTAAATGCCTTTTGGTTACATTATTTAAGACAGCTTGAGTTATGTAGTTCTATCAAATGAGCGTGTTTATTTTCTACATTGTGTTCTGACTGGCCAGAAAGTAATTCTGCATGACAAAACTAGGCAAGGCGTGTCTGATTCCAGCCAATCAAAACAGAGTATTCACATAATGTACAGTGTGTGAAATATCAATACACATGCAAGGTCGCTAGTTGAATAGTTGCCATGGTGGTGAATGGATTTTTCCCATTTGGATTTGATAACTTGCCAACTTGACCCTTGCAAAAATTTCATTGAAAATGTGTTCTTTTTTTATTTCGATCCTTTAAGATGATTTTATAGAAAAAATGTGTATTGTGTGAAAATAATTTAAGCCAAAGACTCAATGCATTGTAGCTGCTTCATACCACTCAGGCGTTGCTTCCTAAACTTTGCATTCCCGCTGCGAGGTCCTGTAAAGTTTAGAAATAACGCCTTCGTGGTATGATCCAACAAACAATGTGAGTCTTAGGCTTAACTCCTTTATTCACACATAACTAAGCAAGGGTGTCCGTTTTAGGCCAATCAGAACAGAGTATTCAGATAATGTACGGTGTGTGAAATATCAATAACACATGCAAGGTCGCTATTAAACAGTTGTCATGGTGATGAATGGATTTCCCCATTGGATTTGATGACTTGCCAACTTGACCCCTTGCAAAACATTTCATTGAAAAATGTGTTATTTTAGTGATTGTGTTCCTTCTAGATGATTTTATAGAAAAATTGCAATCATGTAAAAAGAATTTAACCCCAAGACTCAATGCATTGTAGCTGCTTTATACCACCCAGGCGTTGTTTCCTAAACTTTGCATTCCCGCTGCGCGGTCATGCAAAGGTTTGGAAACAACACCTTCATGGTATGATTCAGCAAGCGATGCATTGAGTCTTGGGCTTATATCCTTTAGCATTCGTTTCCTTTCTATACGATGTGGAAAAGCAGCTTGTGGGTTACAACAACGTAAACCGACCTATGTTAAATAAATAAATTAAATATATACAAAATGTTGGACAATAATAACTCGTTACATAATACAAGTTGCGAATACTATTGCCACTACTAGACAACTTTTATTTTGTCTGAAGTATGCAATCTTTACTTTTCATTTCAAGATAAATCATTCATGAAACGTTAATATAGAATCACAGGACCATACATACCTGTCGCTAAGGTAACCACAAATAATAGATCCAAACAATCGTCCTGCCATATATATTGATTGAGTGGTTGGACCCAAAACACGGTCATTACAAACGAGGTCCCACTGAAAGTGAAAGATGTGGTTAGCCCTTTGGGGGTACTCCCATTTATTCCCTAGATGTGGGTCCAATTTTGAAAAAAACCTAGATAATGAAGTATTTCATTGAATTGATCCTCGTGCGGACTTGACAGAGTATAGTTAAATACATTAATCAAAAGCAATACTTTTACACAATGTTACCTTATTTTGATAGTGGTAACCTAATAATATTTGTTCTACGTTCACACGTTTTTATGTACATGGTATACTCACCTCGGATATAATGGTTGTCTGGTATATACTCGTATCATACAACCACCCGCTACATTCCCCAATGGGCAAATCGTCGGGTTGTGTATAGTTCTCTTTGATATATTCATCAAGCCAGAGCTGCACATCATTTCTGCCGATCGAGGAATAGTTCCGACGAAACTGTCCGCATTTCATGTATTCACGTGTTCCATCTTTCACTTCATACGGTATGGTGTAATTTCTTAGTTCATCTTTGGTTAGATTCAACGCAGATAACTCAGGCGATGGTGCGCAAAAATGGTCTTGTTTTGCACCAATGTAGACGTAGTTGATATTATGGAACGCCCCTGGGATTTCAAGTAGTGCTAATAAGAATATAGCAAGTATTTGGTACCTTCCCATTCCTCCAATTTCATCAAGGATTCCATCGAACGTCTTCATGTTTGCGTTTCAACTACCCGCAGTGCGTTGTTTTATCTTTTTATGAATGGTCGTTTTCCTATTGGGTTTAAGGCAGTTGTACACAGGTACAAAACAGAATATTTTAATAGGACCAGTGTGTATAAATGACAGAACAATTATCCTGACAAATATATGGAGCATATTTAAAAGTTATGTGTATCTGTGCAAATACTCGATGTTAAGGCCTACCTTTAAAGGATTTAAAGCATATGTTCTTATTGTAATATTGATGAGCAAATAGGCAGGGAAGAAGGTGGGAAATTATGGGTACTAGATTAGATTAGACTAGTATGGTTGGATGCCTTAAAAAATAGAATATGATGGAACATTGTGTGACTCCTATGATATTATGTATATTTTATATGTTAATGTAACTGCTTTCAAATGTTTTTCAATGAATAAAAAAAGAATAAAAAAAGAAAAAGCCAGTCGGTCCTGTTGCTCAGTAGTAGAGCACATGCCCGGATAGCAAGGGGTCGTGGGTTCGATCCCCACTGGGGTGGACTGACTTTTTCACATCAGCCCTTAGCATAGGATTTCATTTTGTGTTTTCACTTAATAGTTGGACACAGGTAAGCTCAATGTAATAACTTATAGAGCAATATTTCACGAATGTCCCTTTATGCTGTAAAAATGTTTAACTAACATAATGGCTAATGCATTTGAATAAAACGTAAAGCATTGTATAACTGTTATATAAATCAAAAAATATAAATCCAAGATATATTCACAAATTGGTTATGGAACATAGGACATGTATATCATGCAATTTTCATTCTAATATGAAGTTATATAAAACGTGCATCCTGCATTGAGTGAGCGTTGAATGGCTAAAAATATGGTGAAGTTATGTATTTGCACAGTTTAAGAAAATAACAATATAAAGATAATTGTGTGCTGAGTATGCGGTCACGCTAAAAATAGAACTCGCTTTTCGAGGTTAGCCTCTCTGTATTTATATTTCAATAACACGAGTACGGTAAATTAAGTTTAGAAGGCTTGATTTAGAGTTCACGAGTCGCAAAGCCTTTTTCGAATATGCACTCTGGTTACTGGTCAACTCAACCCAAAATCAACTCAACCCAAATCAATTCAACCCTAAGTCAAGTCCATCCCAAGTAATATCAACCCTTAGTAAACTCGACCCCACCATATTTAAATATCTATAAAAGATTAGATGACCTTTCATTATGATGTTAATGAATTTTGAAAGAATTATGGGAAATTAGAAAGATATATGAATGGATTGTTAAGTAATTTTCCGAATTTATAGATTGTAAAAAACTATAAAACTACAATCACTTTATGACCATTAACTATAAATCGTGAAACAATATTAATAAATACAATTTTACCTATATATTCGTACAGGAGAGATATATATTTATGTAAATGTTAAAGTGCGTCCAACCTTTCTGGGGCTGAAAAGAAACATAGAAGAATACTATTTAATAGATGTTAAAGTAGGAATAGGAAATAAATGGGAGGACAATACATACATATTGTATATATATGGTAATTACACGTACTACAAGTTTATACTGTTTCATATTTTTCATTTTGTATACTTTTCATACTATTGTAAATGCTTAATGTCTAGGGAAACGTGAAACGCGGCTATTTTAGGCAATGGTTGCCAAGAGTTTAACTTTAGAATCACACCACATGATGCGAAATGTGTATGTGTGCTATCCTCTTTTCCATCAATATTATTGTAAAATGACTAAACTTTAATATGGATTGAAATGTATTGTTTGAACCTAAATGAAAATCCATTTAAAAACTTGCATCGACGTGCCACTATTGGTTTATGAAGTGTATTTCATACTTGATTAGGTTCGAGTCACAGCGTATCTTCGGAGCGATTGCCAAGTTCCGGTGTAAAAGGGTAGGGGTCCTATCAAATTATGGTCCTACTCTCCATTGATTTATATGGTGATCAAAATACAACTCTTTCCCTCATTATCTTTTACATAATCAGGGCCAGTAAGGGCCATTAAGAAAGGGGTGCATAATCCCTGGGGGACCATCATTTCTTTCACGGTCCCGCTCCTGAAAAGCGAACTCAATAAACATATATTTCAAACTAATGTTGTATTATCCAGCTCGGCAGACCAATAGATGACCGAAAAGTGCAGTTCGTACGTGTTTTCCTATTTACAATTGACATCTATAAAGTGAACGTGTTTTACATTATGTCAAACTTGGAATTTACTGAACACATCGTTAGTGACTAGGAAATATAGGTTCCCATCATTGTGTATAACTTCCTTAACTACGACGTTCATGTGTTCATTGTATCCGGGTCTGATTTACGATATTTTCAGATAGTTGAAACAGGTTCTAGGGATTCATATACATTAAATTTGGGTACAAACTTCATTTTTATATCACGTTGATTTTTAAGTTTCAAGATATATTTTATTGTTCTATACATTTGATGTACATCATTTCTATTCTCTATTCTTCTTTAGTTCACGTGCACTCAATACGTGATATCATTCATAAATAACATTAAAATCTTGGCTCTTTTCATATTGTTATGTCTTTTCTATCAGGAAAGTTCCAATTCTCATTAAGGAGGATTTTTAAGTCCAGTATATTCTACTCTATAACATTAATCTTCTTGCTTTTCTATTGGTTCCTTATGGGAACCAACATTTACCTCCTTTTAGAGGAGTTAATTAATAAGTTCTTTAATTTGTTCATAATTGTTCATTTATTTGGTAATTATGGGATATTATAATTCGCCTCCTTTTTGGAACCTTCCCTGGGGAACTTTCCATACTTTCGGACTATTCTTCAGTATCATCTCAGAAAATCATCGTCTGAACAGTTTTTATCAACGATCACAACACAACGTAGGGAAATATGTAAAATATTGCACTTGGATTGAATTTTTACTTGGAGTATAGAAAATAAACTTTTAGGCCATTTACTAACTTTTCATGTTACTTTATTAGAACAGAGACATATATTTCACGCGTTGTAGGCAGAATCCCCACGACGTTTTTAATCCCAAACGTTTAGAGAATTTACATGTTTGTGAAAAATTATTTCAGACGATAAGAGGATCGTCGATTTAATTCCTCACTTAAGTTGCAGAAACGGTTTTGGTTAAAAGTGCAGATCTCAACTGTTTTTCGAAAAAATTTTAAGACTCATGGGGCACTTCCAAGTGGTGGAATTAATTTAATAATAGTCCTAATTTGGTTCTAAAATAGGTCAGTATAGCTTGTTATTAACCACTCGACTGATTTACTTCAAATTTCCACACATGTTAAATGGTAGGAAGTTCTAGGGGGAGCTGATTTACTTTTCAGCGGCCATCTTGCATTCTGGCGGCCATCTTGTTTTTTAGATAAATCTTGTCATAGCGATTCCAGGAAAACTACTTGACGGATTTGATTCAATTTTTCACACATGTTACATTGATCCCTGTTACACAGAAGAGTTGAAATGCTTCGTTACCAAGCATTTTGACAAAAACGCCTCGTAACGAAGCAATTTTGGCAAGTGTAACACCTCCGCCTTCGTTAGAACAGCAATTGAGTAGATGTAACTAATGTAACAGGTAGCTTCCAAGGAGGATTGGAAGCCAGGGTTCCAACTCGATATTCTTTAATCTCCACGCATGCGTCATTTGCTATTCGTGTCTGTATAATTTGTACGACTGCATGGAGAATGACCCGATACTCTCCAACAAAGCTATCGCTAGGTGATTGTTTTGCAGAATATCGGTGTTGCATTCTGGGAGCAAATCCTCCTTGGGTAGCTTCATTAGAAAATGCTTAGTTGGCAATTTGCGCATGCGCGTAATTAAGAGCACATTCATCATTTTGTATTAAATGAGAGAATTCGCGAGAAAAAATACGTTTTAAGTACGTATTATAATGCTGCGTATTGATTAAAATAATTAGCCTACATATTGACGCTAGCACAGGCCCAAAACGCCACGTACAAAAATGAAATTTCCCGTCTTTATAGCATTAATATTGATTCCCTGCCTTTCCTTGCATGAATATGACATAACGTATCAAATCTAAAAACCGCAGGGTTTACCGTATACGTATATGATAATTTTGAAACGTTTATTCAATCCATTACCAAATGTTAGACCAAGAAAACTCATGTGTGGAAGCATAAACTTTTGAAATTTCGTAATCTATGCTCACTAAATAGAATGATGTGGCATTAATGTTAGACTTTTTCCTCCTTGTATAATCATTCCTTGATATAATAAGATGTTAATACCATGATATACTGCCGCTCGGTTAATCACATTAGGGATTTAGCTGACTTGTATTTTACGGAAATGCCCCTACACAGAAATCATATCAACTGGCTATCGCCCTAGCTTTTGCAATTCTTATCTGATCGTTCCATTATTTTATTCTTCGACGATTTTAGATTGTAATTGAAGTTAAACTTCATGTTTAAATAGATCGAATTAACTTTTCAAAACTACCGTGTCACGCCTAACCATCGCGTAAGCAGGCGTCACCGTACAGCGTCAAAAATATAGTAGTACGAAAATTAAATGAGTTGAAGCAAAAACTATAAGGGTTGATGCAAATCATAAAAATCGACGGCTTTGAAGCAAATACTATGACAAGGGTTCTAAAAAATGAATTTGATGAAGAAAAATACGATTTCATGTGAAATAAAAACAGCATTCTCTTAGAAATGGTTTTAACTTTCTAATTATGATAAATGTTTTACGAGCACTGTTCGGATTTTTTCTGAGTGAATCGGCCCACATAATCGACCCGAGTGAAAGAGATTGTTTTTTCCCATTTCTTTTGGTTATTATTTTCCCTGCCGTCTGAGAGTATGGATTATTTTTATGAGAAGTAAAGGAAGTGTCGATTTCGATATTTTAAATTTTCTTTGAATTAAACTTCTTTATAGTTGGCGTTAGGCTTCGATGAACTAAATGAGACTAAGCTTATATGAAATGGAAACTCTGGAGTTTGATCATTTGTTCATATATAGTGCGTGGGCGCCACAGTTCAAAGATATCTTCCACCGCTTAATGGAAGGTTACTGGGAATGTATGATACGGTACGAATCATT